ATATATATATATAATATATATATATATATATACATTTTTTATATATCTTCGTGCTCTATAGATTAGATATCTATGCACGTATGTACCAGGCATCTCGGTTTGTCCTGCTTGGTTTTGTGTGTCTCGTAGACACGCGTCTGAGAGGTTAGGTTTAGGGTTTGTGTGCAGGTATTCCTCTGTGTGCGGGTATTGCTGTTGCGTCTGCCGTTGGCTGCGAGGACACCTGTTTGGCCTATCGTAATGACTGAGTTGATTCGGGTGTTTTCGGGGGCTTTGAGCTCGTCTCTTCCCCCTCTAGCAGGAGCACCACCACCAGCAGTAGCAGCACCTTTAGTACCACCAGCAGCAGGAGATCCTGTCAATATGCAGGGCACACCGCTCTCGCTGCTGTCTGCAGGGGTAAAAGTAGTCGAGCTGGCAACCCTCTTAGACCTGCCAGACTTTAGTTTGTACCGCTGGGTATTCCTAGCGGATGACTCAGCTGCTGCAGCTGCAGCTACGGCAGCAACCCCAAACCAACAATACCAACACAATTCCCGGCTGCCTACCCTGCTAACGAAGAGCAAGCAGCAACCCCACCCTGCTGCTCTCGTCTATGCAAACCAGCAGCAGCTGCAGCGCGATATATTGGTGGATAGTGGGGGACAGTCAGCGCCTGCTGCTGCTGCGGAAGGTGCAGCAATAGCATCACACGATGAGGAAATAGCGTATGCGGAGACAGACAATACGAGACCGGTCTCAGCAGCAGCTGCAGCAGGAACAGCAGCAGCGGGCGCAGCGCAAATCACCGGGGGAGTAGTTTGTGTCAATGCATCTTTGCCTCCCGTCGAAAGCCCAGCAAATGACATTGGCGGCAATAGAAGCAGCAGCAGCAGCAGAAGGAGCAGCACGACACCCAGCGAGGTGTCAACAATCAATAGCTCTGCCACATTTCGACCTTTTCTGAGTGTTCTGGAAGAAAGATACGAAGAGCAGCAGCATCAGCGGCAAGGATCAGGTGGAGACCTGGATAGCGTACCTGTTGCATCAGTGAGTTGCTGCTGCCCCTCCAGCTGCTATCGTTGCTGCGTCAGTCCAGCTATTATTAGTGTTGTTCTCTCTGCGCTCATGTTGAATTAGCTGTCGTCACTGCAGAGATGCTGCCGCTGTTGTACCATCCTTGTGGCGGTTCTTTGCCGTTGCTACCTTAAGGCTAGCTGCCCGCGTTCGCCGCTGACATCCCGAGCTTTATATATACGCTTTGGCTTTTAGGGACCGCATGAATCTCCCGATGCTGGAAACAGCAGCAACAGTAGCAGCAGCCTTGCCGCCGCAGCGCGCCGGCTGAATCAGAGAGCAGCAGCAGAGCCAATCCAGAAGATTGGTCCTGAAGACGAAGAAATCCGCAGGTGAGTTCTGGTGCTCTTGCAGCAACTGCTGCAGCTTCTGCTCATGCTGCTGCTTCAGCTGTTGCAGATGGATGGTTGGCTGCTAATAGAGGAGAAGCAACGACAGCAGCAACGAGCCGTTCGTATGACAGTTCCTCAGAAGTGTAAATACCACCAGCAGCAGCAACACCTACAGCGGCAACAGAACTAGTTGGTTTTTGTGCATTCGTGCGTATCTGCAGAAGCATTGAAGACGACTTGCTCGAAGGCCCGGAGGAGCTAAGGGATCTATGGTGTGAGCTGCCACTTCAGGTGCTCCTGCAACGGCAGTGGTGTCTGTATACCTCAGGCTTTGAGCTGCTGCTGCCAGCAGCAGCAGGGTCGGGGCCTCCGCCTGCATGCGGCAACCAAGAATTTTAGGACCATCATGGATAGACATAAAAATACCGACAGGAATGGTGTCGCTAATTTATTGTCGTATTTTACTAGAAGCGAACAGGCGTGATAAACAAATACCTAGAAATACTACGCGGCATAGTTAAATTTCAGGTGTATACCACATGCACACCACATGAGTGGAAACGAGGCAGCAGGCTTCGACTACGAAATACCTATCTGCTTCTGTTGCCACTCCTGCGGTTGCACCTGTGTCTGCTCCTGCTGCGGCGTTGCCGCGTCGAAAAATATGTCAGAGTGGGGGGAGGCCTGTTGTTGCTGCGGTTGTGGATGCTGCTGAGTTATTTGTGTGTGTATTATGGCCGCCATTGGCGTGGTGTCGGTGGAATCACGCGGTGTTTCTGCTGCTGTTGCTACTGTTGCATCTGCAGCTAACGGTAAGGGGTTTTCTTTGCGTTGTTGCTGTGATTGGTTATCGTCTTGCTTTTCTTGCATGTCTCGCTGCTGTTGCTGTTGGAAATGCTGTTGCTGGCGTTTGTGTCTGGCTGCTCGTTGGAATGCGGCATTGATCGGGGTCCAGAGTTGGTTGAATCTCTGTTCGAGGATGCAACAGTCTCTGTAGGGTTTGTCTTGTGGGGAGTTGAAGAGTCTGGCGTTTTTAAAGATGAGGGCCATGTCTTGTTTGAAGTGGTAGGGTAGAAGGTACTTGTCAGCCTCCAGTTTTTCCTTGACTCTCCCAAGCCACATGGGCTCCGCTATATAGTTGCTGTAGCCAGCAGCGGTCGTCTCGGGGTCAGGAGTGAACCAGGCAGCTTCAGGCAGCTCAAATAGAGCAGTGACTGCCTCCCATGCAACTTGCCGCCAGTCTGCTTCACTTTCCTTTCTGTCCAAGTACTTCCTCTTGAAACTCCACATCTTCTGCTCCCGATTTCCGCTTAATCCATAATGCAGATATTGTTCGGTCTGGTCACGACCAGGCAAACAACACAGTACATAACCAGACCCGCTGGAGCTGCCCTCACCTAATCCGCACAATGGCCCTAACCCATCACCTGCCCCTTCTACTAATCCTGGTCCCGCTGCTGTTGGGGCTGCTTCTGATCCTTCACCGGCTGCGGCTGGTGTTGCAGCTGCTGCGGGCTGCCGGCACGGAGAAGGGGGAACGGGACGAGGTACACATCTGGATGCTGCAGATACGCCCTCTCTCAATGGAGAGCAGGCAGCAAACGCTGCAGCGCCAGCAGCTGCAGCAGGATCAAACAGTCCCGCAGCAGCAGCTACCGCTGCCGCTGCAGCTGCTGGCGTCTTGGTGCTGCAGAGCGAAGCAGCAAGTTCACGCTGCAGCGGCAACCAACAAGGAGGGGTCCCAACACCAAAAAGGAAACTGCGGACAGAGGACAAGTGCTGCAGACTAGGTGCAGCTGCTGCTGTCAGCTGCTGCTGCTGCAGCTGCTGCTGCATGTGCAAATGCAGCAGCGTAGAAGCCGCCTGCGCCACAAAACAGCCGACAGCCACGAGGTGGTTCTGTCGGGCTGCCGTTGCTGTTGTTGCTGCTGTTGTTCCCACGACTCCAGGGAGGCTGATATCACAGTAGCTGCCAAGACAGCCGAGGAGGCAACAAACGTGCGGCGGCTGCAACTCCGCCAAGATGTGCTCGCGCTGCTGCTGTTGCTCTTGCTGCTGCTGTTGCTCATGCTGTTCCTGTTGCTGCTGCAAGTTTGTCCCTGTTTCTGGCAGCAGCATGCCTGGGGCATGCCCTGAGAAGGGGAGGAACAGCAGAGGGTTTGATGCTCGTAGCTCTTGGAGCAGCAGCATCAGACTGCTCCAAATGCAGCCCTGGGGGTCGCTCTCTGGGGTGTCCAGGCAGATGGCCACTTGGAGCGCGGTGTACAGCCCCAATCCCACCTTGAAAACACACAGTCATACAAATACACAAACACACAGTTACAGACAGAGACAGGCAGGCAGGCAGGCAGGCAGACAGACTGACAGACAGACAGACACACCCACACCCACACACAAAGAGAGAGAGAGAGGGAGAGAGAGGGAGAGAGAGACACCCTAGAACCGCCTAGAGTTCCAAGCGGCGCCCTGGCACGGCAAATCCTTCAAGGTAGAAAGTCTACCGTGGCAGCACCAGGCAGAATGAGGCGAGAAGTTAGGTTTTAAGGTGTGCAACCGGAAACTTTGGTTTGGATTGACGGGCTTTGCACGTTTTCTCACTTGCGACCTCAAAACCTGTTCCTCCGGGCTCACAAACTTCGATATTAGACACCATTGCTGCTGCGGAAGCAGCGGTAGACTGCTCCGTGTGCCTAATGCCTTTGCTGCTTGTGCTGACGACCTGGGTACGGGTACTCTGTACACCCTAACAGCTCCTTCACAGCAAACCTGCAGCAGCGCTCTGATTGCCTCTCTCCGTACCTGCAGCCACACCTTCACGAACCTAAGCTGTAAATATTCCTTCTATACCACATTCACGCAGGCTACTCTCGTTAAGGGTTCAGGAGTTTTCAATTCTCGTTAAGGGTTTAGGGTTTTCCAAGCGGTTTTAGGATTACTAGGGGGAAGTCGTAGGCAAGGAGTGCTTCCGCCGCTGCAGGCGAGAGGCTGTTGATGAAGGAGCAGCGGCCGCCGCTGTTGATGAAGTGAAGCAAATCAAAAGGCAGGCCGAACTCTTGCGACAACCAGCTGCTGCCAGAAGTAGAGACATCCCCTAGCAGGTCCATGGATTTGAGGCACGTAGGTGCCTCTCTGCCCTCGCAACCGTCTGTACAACCCAGCTGCCAATCAGCTGTCCTCGTGCTGCACCCGACAAAACGAAGCCTCGCCAAATCCCGCAGCGACGGATTCCTTCCTACTGCCCTCAGAAATGCGCAAGTCATCTCCTGCGGCAGTAGCAGAGGCAGCAGCTGATGCAGAAGCTGCAACCGATGAATCAGCACGACGTACCCGCAGCAGCAGCAGCTGGCAAGACAAAAGGCTTCAGCAAAAAACATAACCGTGCCTGAAGCCTAAATGTACAATACCCGAAACATCCTTGAACCCCAATCCTCCGGGAACTCTACAAGTTTTTGAACCGTAATATCCTTGACACTCTCTACATCCCAAACCCTGAATCCTACTTTTCTTGGGGATGCGAGGGCTTTAACTGCGTCAAGTCTAAAGAGGCGCCAGGCTTCAATCCAGGCGGCTTCGAGACCTCTGCAGCTGGAGAGGACAAACGCCTCCCAGTGTCCTGCTGCTGTTGCTGCTTCTGTTGCTGCTGTTCGAGTTGCTGCTGCGGCGGCAGGGTCTTCCTTAATCAGCTGCTCGCAGCAGCAACCGCAGGGCAACCCTGCAGTGGCAAATCGATCTTTGAAGCCGATGCCCATAAAGCACCCTGGAACCCCCCCGTCGCTGCCGCCCTGCACCAGCAAGGAGCAGCCAGCCTGTCAGCCAGCAGCAGATACACACGCAAGCGACAATTTTGAGAGCCTGCTGCTGCTGTTGCAACTCCCACAGCTCCTGTTGAGCTTGCCACTTTAATTGGTCGTACGACAGTTGTACGACTGTTCGCGCTGTTGCTTTGGGAGATAATGCTGGTTTGGGGGCTAAAGCCGCGTTTCCTGCTGCAAATGCTAGTGCTGAAGCTAATGCAATGAAGTTGTTACCTTCGCAGCGGCGAAGTAAGGATGCAAGGATTCTGCGAGGCTGGGAAATGGGGTGTACGGCCACCTCACGTTGCCGAGACAGTCAAGCACGGAGGCACCAAGAGCAAGTAAAGCTGCGCTGTCCGCTGCAGCTGTCGGCTCAATCTGCTGCAGTGGCTGCAGAAGCAGGTCAATAGAAGCAGGCGTCGAGCTGCAAATAACAGCAGCATCACCGTCGTGCTCGATCGAATTAGGGGATGGTGTGTTAACGTGGGTGAGAAACACGTGCAGCAGCAGCAGCAGAAAGTCCAGAAGCCAAATCAGCAAAAGCAACAAGAACAGGTACAGCAGCAGCAACAGGTCGTACAAGCCTTTCACGTCTCTGACTAGGGAGACAGCACCAAAGAAGTGGCGCAAGAAGCGGCTCTCCGGGGCAGTGCATGCGTAGTAAGACAGCCGCAGAGAATCGTTAGCGGGACCTCGCGCTTCGCTTGCCGTTGGGGTGGCTCCTGCAGCAGCAGCAGCAGTAGGTGCTGACGCTGCTGCAGGCATACCCCACTCGCCACTGGCCGTGCCGTCCCCCGATTCTGGAGGAGACATCACTTCATTGGCTTCGGCCTAAACACAAGACCCCAAACCCTAAAGCCTAGAAAACACCTCAGGTCTCCTATCCCAGGCTTACCAGCAGCTGCTCCACCCTGTCTTCTTTCTAATGTTCAGGGTTTAGGGTATATCATTTACGTCTAAGACAGCTTCGCTATGAAAAGAAGAAATGTAGTTGGCGAAGGCCTTCCATGCCGCCCCGCACTCCTCCCCTCCGGTGTTATGCAATCGAGTCAGCGCAAATGCAGCCCGCGCCCTGCAATCCGAAACCCTCAACCCTACGTCCAAAACCCTCAACTCCTAACCCTAAACAGTAGTAGCCACGGACCGCCAGAGGCGGGCGACTGCTCAGCGATTTAAATCAAGTCTGTGGCTGAGGGTTTGGTAATTAGCGTTTGGTGGCGATACCTGAAGAAAGGGTGCCATCTGTGTGAGGAGAGTGCTTTGCTAAGGGCCATAACTGCATGCGCCTTCACAGGGTCCTCTCCTCCAAGACCTCCCTGCTGCTGCAGCGGCAGCAGACTCCCGAGAGCTGCTGCTGCTTCCAGCTGAAACCCCACCGATGTCTCCGAGAGCAGCTGCTGCTCCCACATCGACCCGCTCTGACAGCGCCGGATCCTTGATGCGCAACACACAAATTTAAACGGTAAACTGCAACCCCCAAACCCCCAATTCCACGAGATCTCCCGCGGGGGCTGAAACCCTCACATAGGAGCACACACCGACGGAACCGGTCCCCGGCTTCCTACAGCTGTCCCTTCGTAGGCTGGAGGGTTTAAAGTTTAGGATTTACTAGGGCTACCTGGCAGGCCAGGTGTGGTTGGGGTCCGCGCGGATCCACAAGAGGGGGAGTTTGGTTTTACTGTTAACTTTTGCAACTAGAGAACGATTATCGAGGGACAGAAGCGAAGGATGTTTCTGAAGCACGCAACGCTTGAGGCTTTCGAAAAGAGCCCGGTCACTGCTGCTCAAAGACCCTGCAAACTGAGGCGCAAATCAAACACTAAACCCAAACAATAAACCCTCAACTAGTTCGAACTGTCGTCCCCTATGACCCCAGTGCCCTGGTTTCACCGGAAACAGCAAACACACACTCAAACACTTGTATTGCCGGCGCGAATTCATGTTCACATGCTCAGGACTTCAAGAAACCCGCACGCAGGGTTTGCAATGAAGATAGGATTTACTGACGCCACTCGGTTTTAGCACGTTAAACATGGTTTCTAGGGATAGCCAATTGTGGTTTTATTTCAGTGTTTACGGTGATGCGATCTCCGGCCCCTATGCCTCCACTTCCTGGTCTAGTCGCAGTAGGCTCCGAGCCTTCAGCTGTTGCCGCAGCTTGAGCAGCAGCAGCAGCAGCAGCTGCTGCTGCTGCTGCTGCTGGGGCGTCCGTTGCTGCAGCAGCCGCAGCGGCTGCCTTCATGAGCACCTTGCTGCTGCAGGAACCGTGCAGCATGCGATCGCCTTTCATTGCAACTTTCTTCCTGTTCCATCCACACCACATGCTGTCTGGAATTTGGTGTTTGACGCGTCGCTGAACAGCACAGCGGTACAACCCCCCAGCTTCTGGATGTGCGGTCTGTACGGTTTGGTGTTTGTTTAGGTCTATCCTTTAGGTCTATGCTATTAGGGTTTGCGTTGGTGCGCTGGGTCGTGTATAGGCAGTAGAAGGTTTTAGATAACACGTTCTGGAATATAAGTGTCTACGGCTACTTGTTTTCAATGTTTGAAGTTTTCAAGGTTTAAGAGTTTTCCTGTGTAGGACTTCTGAGTTTCAGTGTGTTGATTATCGGGTTCTTGCGTTAGGACTGTGCTGTTAGTGCTTTGGGTTTGGGGATTGCGGTGCTTATGTCTGGATTATCAGGGCTAAATTCCTTTGTATGGTTACTAGGATTATTCTGCCTATTCTGGCTATTAGGGGCTATGCTTTGAGGTTTAAGGGTTTAGGGCTTAGAGGTTCTTTTGCCTGCCGCGTTCCGCCCTCGCGTCAAGAGAGAATCTGAGAGGCAAGGATCCTTCCTTGAGGTAGACAGTGCTGCCTCTAATGATATCATCATCTACCACCTGCAGCTGCAGCGCAGAAAGCCAGTACTTCTCAAATCCGGAGGAGAAACGCAAATATGGTGCTGGCTGCTGCAGTGACAGCAACTGCTGCTGCACCGGTCCCTGTGGAGCTGGCACCTCCAAGCCCACGTATTGCAGAACGCCTTTCCGCAGCAGGTTGCAGCAACACCCGGTGCTGCTGGCGCCGCCGAGGCTGCTGAGGCTCCCTTTGAACTCGAAACCGTAATCTGCTGCTTGTGGGAGCAGCTCAGTTACCAGCGACGCAGGGACTGCGCTGGGGACTACGGAGTGTACGTACACCCCAACGCTGCGCCTCCACAACTCGCAGCTACTTGCTGCTCGCAGGCGCAACAGATAGTCCCTCTGCTGCAGCAGCCGCGCCCAGTAAGGCAAACCGCCAACTGTAGCAACCGGCAATGCCGGAGGAGCTGCAAAGACACAGCAAACCGTAAACCCCCCAAACCCTAAACCCAGTACACTCAGCCGTCAATTGGGTCGAGTTCAGCACGTCAATTGGGTCGAGTCGAGCACAACCCTGTACGGGGGCAAGGCTAGGGATAGGAGCGCTTCAAGGCACGTGTGCACACGCCCCAAAGTGTAGCGTTGTGTTTTAAGTGCTGCTGAGTTTGGGGCAACTAGGTTTTGGGGTTTACATCTTTCGTTGTCGACGCATTGGGCAGCAAAGGAGTCCCCGTTTTGTTCATTAGGGTCTTCGTCAGCATGATGTTGTTGCTGTTGCTGCTGAAGACACGAGCGCCTTTGCGCTTCTTTGATAGCTTGCCACAGAGGGCCTCTGCCCGCGTTGAGGGGGGCTGGGATGTCCCCGACGTAGCCAAACCCCAAAATGAAATTCCCATCTCTGCCAACAACATCAACAGGGTCATGCAACCCCTGAAGGACTTGCAGGCGCTCCGTTAGGTGAGAGCTTGGTGGAAGCAGGTCGCTGCTGAAGCAGCCTTGGTATACCAAAGTGCTGCTGCTGCTGTTGTTGCGGCTGCGGCTGCGCGGCGGGGCTGCTGTATCGCGGGGCTGCCGGCACAGACCTGGCCAGAGAAGACGCACAAGGAGACACTCCCAAGAAGAAACAGCAACGCTTCCTGGTGTGTCTGCTGCGAGGCGCAGAGACACCTCAGCCTGCTGGTTGCTGCTACCTGTCTCCTGGGCCTGCCACAAATTAAACCCCGCTAGTCCTGCAAGGTCTGTAGCAAACGAACAAAACCATAGGCAGCAACAGCAAACCAAACATGTCCCTCCATATGGCGGCGAATGCACGGAGGACAACTATGCGCCAGCCCCCTTCCAGCAGCAGCAGACGTTGAAGGAACAACGTCCAAGCAGCTGCACCAACTACAAGCAACAGCAGCATGACAAAATGCAAAAAGCAACGGCAGCAGCAGCAGCATGTACGCACGCATACCCACCTGCCGGGTAGAACACGGAAACCCCAGCCTTGTCGAGTTGAGGCCTTGTCAGTTGGCGATCTTGGTGTTGCTGTTGCTTCTGCTGCTGCTGCTGCTGCAGGAGAGTCTGTTGGTGCAGTCCCTGTTGCTGCGGTGGTTCACTGAGTGGGGGAGGCGGCTGCAGCGCGAGCAAATCAATTTCGAAATTGAAGACATCCATAGAGGAGCCTTTGCGTTGCAGCTGAAGCATAAAAGAGAGAGCCAGTTGTGGGCAGCCGCATCCGGAAACGAATGCAGCTCTAAACAGCTGCAACGTCTCCTCCAAGGTCGTTAGCGCCTCGTGGTCCTATACGTAGCAAACAAGCAGGCAGCGCAGGGTTTCAAAGTAAATGGTTCATGTGCAGGGCCTGACCCTAGGGTCTTGGGTTTGAGATGTTTCGGTCTGCTCCCCCAAGCAACACCACAATTGCCTCTCTGGGAGACCCGCGGGATATGTGAGTTTTCATGGAGGGTTCAGGGTTTAGGATTTAGGGTTTGCAGTTTACTTGAGGGTTCACTGGTTCGCTGTTTTCTAGTTCAAGGGCTTGCACTCCCCCCTTTTGCGGGTCGGTTTTCAGCCGTAAAGTCGTTCGGGCCCCAGTCCGAGCCTGTGGAGTCTTGTTCCAGTGCACAACGTACGCCGCTGTCACTGCTAGCAACAGCTGCAGCAGCAGAAGCAGCAGGGAGAAGGGAGAAGGAACTGTGATCGTTGGAGCAGCGAGCAGCAGTAGCAGAAGGAACGGTGGGAGTAGCAACACATCATGCAGCAAAAGGCGTGACAGCAACTCTGTGGGGCAGGACGTAGCAGAACAAACAGAGGTAAAAACAGTAGCAACGTGTAGATGCACCAATAACAACAGCGATGAGAGGTCCAGCACCATCAGCAACAGCACCGGCAAACACAGGGGCAGCACCAACAGCTGCCGCAGGTGGAAGCCAAGTTTCAGCAGCACAAGCAACACTTTCGGTAGCAACAGCATGCGTTTGTACCCTTTTCCAGAAACGGTCGCCGTTAGGGGGTTCCTTCCTCCTGCTGGTCTTCCCCAGGAAATCGTTGAGACAAAATGAGAGAAGGAAACGGCTAGAAAGAAAATTTTGAGAAGATAAAAGGGCTTCTAATGAATGCAAGACAACGCAACACTTGAGCTGAAACACCTCGCTATATGCCAAACACTCCACTGGAGGCAGCAACAGCTGCTGCTGCTGTTGCTCCCGCAGCATGCTACCACCGCTGCTGCAGCTGCCGGTCCCTGAATTGCTGTTGCTGGTGGCTAGGGCACCCAGTGGGTCTATAGGGAATTCTTCGAGGCCCAGTTCGCACAGAGACAGAAGGCGTTGAAGCCGCTCCCACCGCCTAATATGGAGGTCGACCATCCCGAAGTTCGTCTTTGAAACGGAAAGTGCAGACAGAAAAGCAATCGATGCCAAAATGAAAAATGCAACGGGGTGTAAACGCAAGTACAACAGACACACAAGGCAATACATTAAATAGCAGCAAATTGAAACACAACGCAGCAATTCGCATCCGCAGTTGTTCACGTGAAAAATCCAGTATACTTATATCAATAGACATATGCTTTGTCCTTTATGCCTTAGGCGTGAGTGTGTTTAATGGCTTGAACAGGAGCAATGAGCACATAAAAACAAAAGTGGCATTTCAACTGGCGTCAGTAAACAAGTAATTACAAGCCCAAACGACAGTTCAAATATCAAGGAGAAAACAGTCAAACATAAGGCAGCCGCTTACGTAGAACGAGACACAAGATTAAACAACACAGCAACAAAACCAATCGCTCGGGCGGCTACTGTTTTCAGGACGAACACGCAGAAAGAGCAATGTAAAGGCCAACAGAAAAAGAAACAGGCACATGGTTGCCAATGTTCAAACCCTGAACAAGCTTCTCTTATCCGTAAACAATGAACCCTAAACTCCACTAGACAGCCTACACCCTACTTCACCTTACTACCTACTTAACGGTTCTAATCCCTGAACTCTTCTGCGAGAAGTCACAGTTTTGGCTCTAAACGGCTAAACCGCCTGGTAGTGCGCATAGCTGGAACAGAAGTGGAGGGTGTATGGTTTGGGGTTAAGGGTTCGGGCGTTGTTGTGGCCGTATCCTACTTGAATGAAGAGGTCGAGGAGGAGTTTGCGTATAAGCGTTGCGGTATACAGACAGCTGAAGAGGTCTGCCTCTGTGGTGAGACGGTGTGTGGGGTATAAGTCTTCTAGCCACAGATGAATCACTGCTTCAGCCAGCAGCAAACGAGAGGGAAAGCCTGCGCTGCTTGCCGTTGCTTCCGCAGCACTTAGCAGACACTCCAAAGGTAGCACCGCCACGTTCCCGCTCACCACGTACTCCTGCCCTGGCCTGAACCAACGCTAAACCCTAGACCCTAAACCCTTAACCCTTAACCCTACTAAGCCCTAAGCCCTACGCGCTAAGCTGAAACGCTAAAGCATAGATCCCCAATCCCATATATCAAAGTCGATGCTTTCTTAGATACTACACCCTAGATACGCTGGTCTCGACCAACTGTCAAACAGCGGAACACCTTAACACTTAATCCTATATCTTTAATCCCAAGTCCTAAGCCGTTCATAATCGTGCACAAGGCTGGGTCTCCAAGCCGCCAGTACTTTTCTGCTAGGAGTTTACGAAAATGAGATGCTTGTGAGGGCTAGGGTCTTAAGGGCTTAGGGTTTTACGATCGATTCATTTCTTCAGCGATGGCGCAGTCCGCACAGCCCTCTTCAGTCATCTGCCGCAGCCCCACAGCAGAGGCATCGCTCGACTGCGCAGAAAGCATACAAACAGCATTAGAATCAGCAGCAAGAGCAATAGCATAAGCCCCCAAAATAGCAACAGCAGCACCGGCAGCAGTATCAGCAACATGAGCAGCAGTAGGATACTTAGCAGGGCAACCTGGAACAGCAGCAGCAGGCCTTACGCTCGCATGCAGCGCTGCACTGACACCAGATGATGAGGCGAGGCCCCACACCCCCGAGCCAGTGCGCCGTAAGGGAAAAAAAAGGACGGACAAACAACCAAAGGGAGGACTGCTGCCGAACGCCTCCCCCAAAACGCGGAGACACTCCGCTAACGCCACCTAACACGCAACCCCTAAACCCAAACCCTAAACCCTAAATCCTCTACACCCATCATACCCTTTTAATATAACAGAGGCATGGATGCGCTCACATCAACTTTGTGAAGACAAGAAGTGCAACCTGGGACCCCTCACCCTAAACCCACAACCCCCAGCTCTAATGCGTTAACCCTGCATCCGAAACACCTAGATGTCAGTACGCCACATAAACACCGTATCGAGCTATCAACGCTTCAGATGTATGAAGTGTAGGGTCTAGTGGTTAGGGTTAAGGGTCTAGCGTTTAGGGCTTAGGCGGACAGTTGTAGGACCCAAAAGCGACTCCAAACCTTTCAAAGTAATGAGGGAGACCATGGGAACGACGGCGCCAGCCTCGGCCGATCCTGAGCCACAGACCCTTAACCCTAATCCCTAACCCCTCAATTCTGAGCCCTTCGGGTGACTCTCTGTGTTGAGACAACAGCTCAGCAGCAGCAGCTTCGGCAGTAGCAGGAGGGGCTGGACGTGCAGCAGCAGTACCAAGAGTGTCGCCTCCGCGCAACGGTTGCAGGTGCTGTTGCTGTTGCTGCTGCCTGCTGTTGGGGATTTTGATAGACGCAGCAGTAATGGGATAAGGCACCCCCGAGTTGCCACTAACAGCAGCAAAGTGACCGGCAAAGAGCAGCAGCTGATGCGGCAGCAGCCAAGTAAGGACAGAACGAGCTCCAGATTCTCCTGTTGCTGCACCTGCTGCGGTTGCTGCTGCTACTTCTGCTGGTCCTCCGGTCGTTGAGAATGCCTCCATATGGTTGGGCTGCAGCTGTTGCTGCACAAGCTGCTGCTGCTGCACCTGATGTGCAGAAGCAGGATTCCTTCCCCCCGCACGCCCGGTCTTGCGTTGGCTGGTGAGGGCCTCAAAGACAAACACCTCGCGCAAGCACTCCTCTTGCTCCTGCTGCAGTTGCTTTTCCTGCTGCTGCTGTTTCTGCTGAGTCTCCTGATCTAGCTGCTGCTCACAGTGCACGAGTTCGTCTTCCTGCCCTCTCTTCGTCTGTTGTTGCTGTTGTTGCTGCTGTCCCTGCTGCTGTGAAGCCTGAGGCAGCAGCAGCGTCCAAATGCTGCTTCGCGGCAGCTGCTGCTCCCACAGCAGCGGATGGTGTAGCAGCTTCTCCAGTGGCGATCCCCGGCCGAAGACGCAGCAGCAGCCAGTTGTAACGCCTTCAGCACAATCAGCACAGTACTGTGGACGTGCTGCGACAGCATCGTCTGCGGCATCAACAACACCAGCACCAGGGTATTCCTCCTGTGCAACAGATGGTGCACCCGAGACGTTTGTTTTTGCAATTGTTGCTGCAGACGCCGGTCCTGAGGCCTGAGGCACCCCCGCAGCAGCAACAACTCTTTTTAGAGCTGCTGCTGCTTCCGTTGCTGCAGCAGACAGCGGGCGTAGCTTAGCAGCAGCAGCAGCAGCAAGCCGCCTTGTGAGCATCCCCGGCATTACAACGCAACAGCCCTCTGGTACATCTATAACTGTCTTCCAGTTGGAGTGCAGTGGCAATTCTGCAGCCGCTGCTGTGGTGTCGCCTGCAGCTGGCGGCTCCGCGTAGGCGCTGTGGGGCAGCGTAGGAAACCAAGGGGGACAGGGTACGACTCCTTGCAGCGTTTGCAACAGCTGCTGCTGGCGCAATAGCCCCTTGCTGTCTCTGTATTTGTACTGCGAGAAGACGAGACTGCTGCCGGAGCCGTCTGTCAGACCCGACAGCATGAAGGAGACAGACACTTTCAACTTCTGCAGCAAAGACAGACGAGCAACATCTCACAGAGCCAACTATCCAACCAACTACCACATACGCGGCGGCCAAGCATTCCGGCGGTTGGTCAGTGCGGTTTTCAGCTACGCATCTTTTGATATAGGCACATACGCATAATTCATTCAGCCCCTAATAAATAAGTGTATATATATATATATATATATATATATATATA